TTCTTTCAAGTAGTTTTAGGCGATTTATGATGAATTTGCTGTAATTTTTTATTACTTCTGTGTCAATATAATTTCCCTAGGAAATATGTGTGCAGATTGTTTTTCTGTTATTTTTTACCCCCACCCTTTTTTTTTTTATCATCCATCCCTTACTCACCTTCGCCTCCAATGCCAGGCTGCTTGAATATGTACATGCCCTGTGCTATCACTGGCTTCTGGAAACCAATGGCACGAGCAATGTCCTGCAAAAACAAATGAACAGATAACGTTAATATTTAGTCACCAATACTGGTATGTACATGTATAGTAAGCGGTTGATAGACAAGAACCACGATTGAAAGATCAAATCGTATCTGGAGTTGAACATGAGACCAGAGGTGTGCTACATGTACTGCCTAAATAACAGGAGAGACAGCCACAACTCATCCAGTAGAAACACAAGCGACCTGATGGTCGAAATAGCTCCGCTGTCTTCATTATCATATAACAAGAATCAGTAAAGTAGCATTGTGGTTGACTGTTTCGAACTAGTTGTCGAAAATACCATTTTTTACCAAAAATGACAAAAATATTCACTAAAAATCCAAATTTGCATATTTTGACACAAATTTAACAAATCTGACAGAGGACCACCCCAAGTACCATTGCTGTAAATATCAAAGCATTTGGACTTACGGTTTCGAACTAGTTGTTGAAAATAATTTTTTTTTATCAAAAATGACAAATTTGCATATTTTGAGACGAATTTAACAAATCTGACAGAAGACCACCCCAAGTACCTTTGGTACAAATATGAATGTAATTGGTCAAGTACTTTTGAAGAAGAAGTTGCTTAAAGGAAAACTTCACGCGGGGTGCGGACGGATGACGCCAGAGAGACCCCCATACCAACAGCTCCGTTGGGTCATCTGCAATGACAGCGGAGCTTAAAAAAACTAAAAAGAAATCAAACATACCTGTACTATTTGCTTATGCGTTACTTCCTTAAACTTTGGATTTAACGCATGTAAAGCATGTCCAATTTTGTTCAATGATAAATGTTTGTCTCGCAGTAAATCACCTGCAAATTGAAAGAATGAACCAATCAGGAATCACCATCTTTGTTTATTAGGGATGGACAACCAATCAGGGATCACCTTCTTTGTTTATCAGGAATGGACAACCAATCAGGTATCACCTTCTTTATTTATCAGGAATGGACAACCAATCAGATATCACCTTCTTTATTTATCAGGAATGGACAACTAATCAGGGATCACCTTGTTTTTTTATCAGGAATGGACAACCAATCAGGTATCGCCTTCTTTATTTATCAGGAATGGACAACCAATCAGGTATCACCTTCTTTGTTTATCAGGAATGGACAACCAAACAGAAAACAACTTGCATGTTTATCAGAATGAAAACTAATTTGAAAATCACATTCTTGAAAACTTATCTAGTATTCAGGTATTTAAAGTGCCTGTGCAATGCCCACCCACACGTTTCCCATTTTAGATCTGTGTCCCACTGAAATGGGCAATTATTGATTTTTTTGCTGAAAATGATTACTCGTATCCAAGTAAATTTGAGATATTTCCCGTGCTGTAGCCTCGCCCACCTATCCAGAAACGGTCGACTGATTCCGGATTTCCGACTCTCGTCGAAAGTTCGCCTCCAAATGCTAAAATATAAGAGGAAGCTATACCCCTGGGCCGTACTTTTATATCACTGTGCCATTCAACATACTTTTAAAAGATATACATTTTTATTTTATTTTTGAGAGAGCGAATTTAGTTTTCACAACAAACATTAATAATGGTTAAACGTTGTGTTGTGGGCGGCTGCAGTAATGCGTGTAGTCATAGTGTAAGTATTTAAACGTTTCCAATCGATCCGAAGGTGCGAAATCGGTGGACGAAAGCCGTGAAAATAACGAGAAAAGGTTGGGGTGGACTTCCTCCTTACAGCGTCATATGTAGTGTCCACTTCATCACAGATCCTTTTTTTCAAAAAAACTGTTCTTGTCCATGACAAAACAACTAGGTTTTAACAAGAAACGCTGACAACTTAAACCTGGCGCAAGACATAACGTTATCGTTAAAATAGATTCCGGACCAGCCCATGATCACTGCGGCAGATTTCAGAAGGAAGAGAGACGTCGGGTAAGTGTTTCAAATGATTTGATTTTTTTTGCGATCCTGATTATTGGTTTAAGACCACCCGTGTTATGTAAAAGGTAGCCGTAATTTTGATAACTTGACACGAAAACGAAGCGTCGGACAAACAGAAAATCACGCAGCCCTCAGGCTGTTTTCATTT